CCTCACCTGCACCCGCGGGGCGGTGGCGGCTCCATCCCGATCCCGCGGCGGAGGCGGCGCTTGGCAGCGCCGGGCCGGGCCGGGCCGGGCCGGGCCGTGCCGAGGGGGGAGCCCCCGGCGGAGCGGGGCGGAGGGGAGCCCTCCCCGCGCCTCTCCGCCGGGGGCCACCCCCGATCCGCGGGTCCCGATCGCTCACATCCCCGCAAGCAGGAGGAGGGCGGGGAAAAGGGAAAAAAAAAAAAAAAGGGCCGGGTTATCAATTCCCTGTTAACTCTTCTCCTTGCGGTCTTGTCTCATCCCTTGGGCGTCTTCTGCGAGGAGGGTGGTGCTGATGGAGATGATGGTGGCAGTGGGATGCTCCGTCAGGGGAGGGGTGGGGGGGTGAGCAGTAGGATCCCTGAGCTCCTCTAAACCGAAGTGGATGGGAGCCGTGCTGTCTCTGCGGCCAAGGAGGATTAGCGCTTGCTCATTTAAAGGTTAAGCTCAAAGCTAACCTTTGTGGCTCGGTCCTGTCTGCAAGTCTTCCTGTCCCGTGAGCTGTGAGAGTGTGCAGTTGTTTTCTCCCCCTACTCCAGCACCGATTCCTATTAAAGCAGTCTAAAAATGGCAGGTTGTTTCTGTACTTTCATATACTTACAGGTGCTCATTAGACAAGTAGACAAACCGCCAGCCAGGACATTGATACATTTAGCACTACATGAGCTAAAGAGATAGTCCTGTCCCAAGACCTTATAAATTATGTATAAGAGATGACGGATAGAGAAGGCGGCGATGAAACAACACCAGCCAGTATGACAGGCAGGGAACTCAGCACAGCATTGCACAAAGTACTGAAGGTACTGCACTATACACTGTTACATGCAGTCTTTTGCTCAAATCAGCTTTAAAGGTACCAGGAGACAAGATTATGGGGAACATAACTGTGTATTGATGGGATTTTCAAAACTGCCAAAATGGCTCAAGAACATGCATTCCTTTTATTTTGACAATTCCATGTGAACTAAAGGATTCAGGGGAAGATCATAAGAATAACATGAGAATAACTACACTGAAGACACATAAACCTAAGATTTGTACCAAACCTACTAAATGTACCAAAGTCATGGAGTAATGAGAAAACTTTTGGTCTCCATTATCAAGGTATTGAACAGCTAAATAATAATTAACCATCTTAACACCTTCAAAGAGCTTTGACTAATCTATAAGACAGGAATGTCCTTTACAAACATTGTGTTGACTTGTCCTTGTTATTCCATACCTTCATGCACATCTGCTAATTTAATTCTGTAATGTAAAGTCAGCTAAATTGGCTGGCACAGACAAATTAGAGTCTGCCATTCCCAGACTCCTTCAGACATCTTTTTTGCAAGATGAGGTCATATATGCCTCATTCTTCCTTCAGGTTAGATTCCTCAAGTATGAATACCACCTGGTCCATGTTATTTGTTGACATAATCACTAACTTATTTTAAAAGCTCTTCAGTTTGAAATAACTGCCTCAAGTTCAACCTTCTTAGAAAAAGATTATGTTGTAGACTCTTGAAACTCTCCTGAGGTGAATTCACACAGGCTTTCCCCTTACAACTAATCTTTTCTGGACACTCCTTAAAACTACAATTATATATTGCGCGTATAGATCCTCTGCACAATTCCTGCTTCTGATGCATTTGAAACAGGTGTTAGTCATGTAACTTAATGCATTTTAGGTAAGGAAAAAAAACAAAAACACATTTACTAAGTTCTCATCATGGTATACAAATTTAGGCAGAATGAAAATAAAGTATTTTTTCCTTTGAAGTACTATGCATCTACATTTACATAATAAATTGCAGTCCATAGCAACCCCTCCTCCCGAAATAATTAAAAGACCTCACCAAAATAAATTTTTTCTATATTAAAAACGATTTAGGTCACTAAATTAAGTGACCAAAGGTTGGGAAAGCCAGAAGGCTGCCCATGAAACCTTAATTCAGACCTCTTGTGCATGTGTATTGCAACCCTGTACTTAATTATGAGCATGTCTGCAGAACACCAGGCTCAATTTGGAACATTTGAAATTTTGTAGTGGCAAGCATGTGACTGGCTAATTATGTCACCTCCTGTGTTCTCATCCATTTACTCCTTTACTTTCTAGGGTCTCTCTTGTGCTCATCCCTGATCTTCTCTCATGTGGAGATTTCTCTTTCCCCAGTCTGTCTGAAACCCTTACCCTTAGACAGCCACTTTAGTAGTCAATCAGGTAAAGGTTGTTACCACAGGGTCATAGAAATTGCTAATTATTCCTTCAAAGGTTATTTGTGATTTTTCTCCAAAGTCGAGGGAAAAAAATTAAAAGAAAAAGGAATAAAAACAAAACAGGGAAAAAAAAAGAGATTGAAAAACAAGGAAACAAAAGTTTCCAGGTTGAAACAGTAAATAAGGAATCGAGGTCAGTCTTCACGATATCACAAACCTGTCTTCTTACAAGGGATCAGCTCTCAAATTACAAGCTTTACAAAGAGACAGTTATAGCTGAAAGCAAAAGGAGGGGAAGGATCATGATGTATTTATAAATAAAGTTGCAGTGGACATTCTGGAAAACTGATGATTTTTTATTTAGTTTGTGATAAAATCTCTACTTTCTGGCTGCTTCTCTTGGAAGAAGACCTCACCAGGCCAGGTTGGTGAATTTGCTCTTCCCATAGACTTATGTTACTGTCAAACTGTAATGTTGTTCGAAAAAGTTTTCCAGCAAAACTAACAAAAAATTGAAGCACTAGGGCTTATGATACTACTACAGTGGACTAAAAGCAGTATTTCCACTCACTTCATGGGTAATTTTAGACCCTAAAAGGCTAAAGCAATAACTATTCAATTTTTTTTTCCCCCGGAACATGAAAATTCAAAGAAAATTTGAGCAAGAAAAACATACTATTTTTCTAAATGAACTGGAAATACTGCTTTTAGTCCACTCTAGTAGTATCACAAACAACACTGTTTCCATTTTCAAGTCAATCTCAATATCCCAAAACTTATATTTTCAAAAGAGTTGCTAAAAATGGGAGTTACTCTCCTGAGTGCTTCAGTCTTTAGAGTCTTTCTGATCCTTTCCCATACACTGTCTTTGCAATCATTGGCAGTATAAACTTGATTTCTTAAAAAAAAATCAGATTTTGTTCTTCTTATTTGATTTCAGGAGTTTTAATAATTTAAAAAACCCTCAAAATTGTTATAATACTCTATGCTGAGCCATGCTGCAGGGTACAATGGATTTACTTCGAATGGGATAAGAAAGCAGAACTAATTTACCGAAAGTAAGGCACATTAAAGTGCAGTAAAATCAAACACTCATGACTTGAGGAACATAACCGTGCAGATATTTTTTCCCATAGCCTTACTATGCAGGCAAGTCCATATCGTGGGAGATTTTTAATGTGTGGCCTTCAAAACCTACCACACAATGCTGCTGTGGGGATTAACTGGTTAAGATTTGTAAAGTGCTTTGAAGATTATAAGGCATTAAGTTGCATAAGTGCTAAGCACTATTATTTAATACTTAAGTATTATAACCAAGCTTTACAGGACAACTCACGTTCACCTCAATAGAACAAGTCTTTGTGATTTCACTACAGTTGTTGCAAGAGGTAAAGCAAGCAGAACAGACCATAAGAGGGAAATTCCTTTCTTGTTTCACTCTCAGAGACTAAAGTAAGATATAACTGGAGTGGTGTTGTAGAAAAATTAACTGAAAAATAATTATTACGAAATGCGATAGTAGAAATCGACATAAAAATGCAGGGCTCTTTAAGGTCCCAGTTCTGTCATTTGTACTTAAATTATGTTCCATCTTGCCCAGGTAGACCCATTGACTATTGTTGCAGAAGTACAACTCCAAACCCCAAACCCATACCTGAGTGACAGTAGGAATAGGTAAAATTTGTACATTCTAAGTTGTACTTCATACATATTTTAGCTTAGTTAAGTGAGAATTTTGGAAGAAAGATGAACACTGAGTGTTGTCTTTATCAATCAGATTGAGAACAGCTTTTTTTGATACAGTTGCTTTGTTGAGTTTCATTTTGGTATCAGCCTTCCTCTCCCTTGTTTTGTAATGTCAATTTTTCATAGCAGAAGAAGTTGTTGGGATTTTTGTGTAGCAAACGGACAAAGCATTTGTTAATAAAATAACAATGCAAAACAGAGACAATACGATGGAATTTTGAGCTGAAGTATATTAGAGACAGAGGAACAGAAGTGTTTCAGGACTGCTGACAGGCACATACTGTAGAGGTTAGGTTGGGCATATAGTTGGACCCTGAGCTGCATCCCAGCATCTTGAAGTCACAGAGACCTTATTGGCATGCAGGGAAGCAGAGTTTGGTTTATTTACCTTACAAGGACTAATTATTATTCAATGGCAGTGTCTTTGCAGGACAAGACACTGAGTACTTATATTTCTTGTCTCTGCAACACTGCTGCAGACATTTCACAAGGACAGACTTTTCAAGTATATGCGTTTCCTCTCTGTGGCTAAAAACAAAGATTATTTTCCTATAGTGTTTTGACATTTTGATCTGAGTTGAAGCATATAATACAAAATCATTTCACTGGAAGTCTCCGGTATGACCTGAAATTCATTTTTAGAGATAAGTAAAGGTGAAAGAGGGAAAACAGAAAGTGAATAGTGTACTTGCACAACAGAGATTCATGTCCTTTTCTGGGTCAAGGTAGCTGCAGGTCCCTAATGCTCCTACTTCTCTTTGGAAAGCATAAACTTTGATTCCTCTATTAAATTACCAACAATTATTGTGTCACAGGCAGGAGACCAAATTATTTGTCCCAAAACACAAATAAACTCCATGAAAAAGCCAGAGTTCAATTTAGCTTTCTAGACACTGATCTCTGTCCCAGACTGCTTTCATTTAGACACAGCTTAAAACAGGCTAGAACAGTGCAGTTCAGAGAAAAGGTCGTACAGTGGCAAGTTTGACACTGCACACCCTTGTTTCACAGTGTCTTACCAGGTTTCTGACCAGCTGCCCCAGGAGATGTGGGAAACTGGAGATAGTACACTTCATTCAGATTCAGCTCCTTAAGCTCAAAAGTGTTTGCACTGAGATTCAGGGCTTCTTTGTTCTCAGCAGGTTTTGTAGGTTCTCCAGTCTTTTATCTGAGGCTCCACTCACGTCCACAGTTGCTCAGCCATCTCAGTGTCACACGAAAGTGTAACATTGTTTTCTTTTGTCTTTTTAGGAACCTTTTTCTTTGAGTTCCTTACTGCCTTGTGTTTTGTTTGAAGAGTGTTAAATCATAAAATGGCAGCTGCTCATTTTTCATTTTAGATTCAAATTATGGGTTAGTTACACTGTTGTTCATACCAACAGTCAACTACTTGACCTGCATTAGTATTCTTAATGTTCATTTTGTCTTTCTTATCTTCTCCTTTTCTCAGCTGGCAGACAGATGTGTTTAGAAAAGGACCTTAAATACTGTCCTTCTCTGCTGAACTATCTACCTGAACTACTGTGAATATGTCAGATCTCTGGTGTCCTAAGCTCCCAGCAGAAACTATATTTTCCTGAGCCTGTTTAGTCCTCTGTCTTTTTTCCTTCATCCCTAGGGCTACTGTTCTTCCCACATACGCACATCCGGTAACTGTCAGGATCAAATAGACCATGACCCAAAGCACTGAGCTCTGTTTTCTTATGCATCAACTCATTTCATGGGGGACAGAGCGGGTCCTAGGGAGGTTAGTCTAATTTAACTCCTTCTGATCACTAAGAAGCAGAAAATATATGTGATGTGCTCCAGATAGACCTTCTAGTCTAAAATGCATCAGAGCTAGGAAAAGTCTCACTTTAGCTGCACATGTTTATAATGCGAATTTCTATCCTAAGAAGAGAAAAATGTTCTCTCTTGGCAAAAAAAGCTGTTAACATCAAAGAGTCTGAATTTGAGTTCTCAATATTTCTAAACTTATTCCCATGATATTCCTCCTGCATAGTCAACCCAGTAAAAGGCTGAAAATGTTTCTCCTGCTCCTTTGTATTTAAAAAGAGATTGATGGAAAGGAATTTTTTTGGAAGCAGTACTTAGAGATGACTCGTAGAACCATTATATTCCAGGACCTTTTTCTGTTCTTCACCTTTGTCCATTTTTAAGTTAAAGTAACAAAGTGAAATGTCTTATGGTTCATTGTAAATATCAAACTGATTTTCTCTCCCTTCTTTTCAAGTTCAATTTAGTTTTATGAAAAGATATTTTTGGGGGAAAAAGGAACAAAAAAATGAAGAGAACATTACTAAAAATAAATCCAAGCAAAGAGCATGTGATGAAGAGTTGCAGAGCCTTCTCAGTCTGCAAAAACAGATTTAATAAAAAATGTGCTTTTTTCTCAACCCTATGACAATTAACCTAATATTAAGTAGAAAAACTCCCATTATTGTTATGGGTTGCCCAACAGGGGGTGGGATGGGCAAATCTCTATCCATTTTTATCACATTCTCACCAAAAACTTGTCCCTCATCCCCTTCATTCCAGAGTCTAGCTTTCTGCACCCTCCTATGAGCAAGAGGAAACTCAGATTTACCCATGTGAGTGGAAATGGAAGTGAGTGCTGAAGAACAATGAAGTGTCATTCTGGAGAGCACACCTCAAATATCTTTCTCAAAGGCCATCTCTAACTCCAGATAATACCTTGTTCACAAAAGAGGGTCTCCAGCTAATGCTGTGATAGATTCAGCTGTATGATTCAGTGATCAGAGAGTCTTCAGAATCTGGCTTTGGGGGCTGAAGAACAGACTGTATACCGTATACTACCCAAAATCTTCTCTCCTAAATCCCTGTGCCCCCTCCCCAGGCCACAGAACTGCAGGTGTGCAGGTGTATGAAGGCTATCATAGGCTATGCCCTGGATAGGAATTAAGCCAATTATTAGGTCCTGGAAATCTTATTCTCTTTCCATATCTGAAACTTTTCAGTACACTGTCCAAGAAGGATAAAAGCCTTCAGGAAAATCCTGACAAGGCTTCTGAACTGCTATTACAGCCCCTTCCAGTTTCAGGCTACTTGAAGTTTAGGCAGAAAAGAACACAACCTCACTCAGAAATTTTTCATCTTCATTCCACGTAATAGCTCCTTCAGCCTTTTCTCCCATAAAGATCTGCACTGAACAGGGGGACTCACAGCAGTCACAGGGCAGTAAGCACTGAGTTGCTATCCTGCTGGCTAAAAGCTTTCCTGTGTGGCAGTTTTAGTACTGGGAAATGGAATTATGGAACTAACTGCATTTTGGAAAGAGTTGCCTGTAATTTCCAGCTGTGTCTTTAACAGAGGTTTCCACTTAATTGTTTCCACTTTTCTTCTCTTTTCATAACAAATCATCCATCTTGAAGATGCACTTCCTTTATTTCACTGAAGCTGTAGATTCACTTTTCTTATACCTCTGAAGCAGGATCCTAATACCAGTAAGACCACCCAAAATACACAACAGAGCTTCAGTAAACTTTGAAATGGCTAACCATTTTAGACTTACCCATACAGCTAGCTCACTTTCTGAGGACTTTCAGATTTCTCCTTTGGAAGCAAGCTGTTGTTGCCAGCAGGGAGGAGAAGCAAACATGTTGCTCTGTTGATCTCATTTGGAGCTTTTGGGCTTTAAGAGAGTGACCAGTAGCAGGAGAAGCACCTGGCATAAGGAGTTAGAAAGATGTGGTTAAAATGCAGTACTCCCAACATCTTTAAATTAAAAACCTGTGTAAAATGTTCTTCTTGAGCACTTTAGGTTAACATCTCTATGTTTTGACAGGAATTGCAACAAAGATCTGAAGGAAAATGTCTGGTCTGTACCAGGGAGGGTCAAGATGTTGAGTGTAATTGCTCTCAGAGAGGGACAAGGAGCAGGGAACTGCCTTACAGGAAAAATGCCCAGCCTGTGCTCTCCTCTGAGCCAAGCTCAGGAATTGTCTGGCAAAATCATTACTGGCATCTGCCAAAATACTGCAGGAAGCATGCTAACAGCTATACAGCTTGGACAATGAAGCACAGTGGCTGAGCCTAAGCCCCTATTTTGATTTAATCCTTGCCAGTATAGATGCAGACCTAGATCCTGTTATCCTAAAAAGAATCCTGTGTCCTGCTGTCTCTGATGTGGCTTCAGTTCAGGCATACCCACCCCTCACAAACAAAAGCCATGTAAGACATGCCACAAAACAGATTTTTCTTTCCAGATCCAACAGATTACACTGAGGCAATTGCTAATCACCTTAAGAGATGACAAGCTCTGAAAGCTGCTCACTCATGGAAAGTAATGAGTTAGTTGAAAACCAGGAATAAAGTTGTGACTAAAAGGACACTATCGCAAGAAAAATGTTCCTCCTCTTATTTCCTATTTTCTACAGCTAGAAAATGTGTTTCTGCTTGTACAGCATTATGATCATGTATCATTCACAATCCTTACAGCTATCTCATGACTATCTTCTTACTCTAATGCAGCCTGTAACCTTCTCTGGATATGTTTAAACAGTAAATTATTTTGCTTCTACCAGTTTAACCACTACCGATCACACTTGTCACATGGCTCTGCACTAGTTCTGCATCCACAGTGCAGATTTTTAGAGCTTGCTAACCACATCTCTGCACTTGGACAACATATACAATTCCCACTAAATCAGACAAATGGATGCTGCTGAGCCATCTGTTTGAAGATATGTTTAGTTATATAACCTAAGCTACAAGTATTTCCTCACAAATGAAGACACCTCAGCTTAGATGGCTACCGAGAGGGGACTGTGCACAAGACTGGAAAAAACAATGTAGGAACTGTACAAGACTTGTGCCCTTCTGTGGCAGTTTGTGGAGGCCTGGCAGAATCCAGGCCTCCTACGCCATCACAAATGGCACTGAAGTCTATACTTAGACTAATGAACTGAACCCTGAGGTCTTTTGAGTGAGTCTCAAAGATCCCTTTAGTCGACATGAGATCTACTCAGACCTATTCTGAACTCAGATGGTGTTCAGAAAGCAGATCAGATGGCAAAATATAGGGATGCTGGGATTTAAAAGTATTTTTTAAAAAATGTTCTTTTTGGTCAATTCAGAGTAAGAATCACAAGACCAGACTCTGTTCCCAAATTTGCACTTGTTACCAAAGTGACGTGCCCATTAAGATTCTTGTGCTGCTTTAATAAATGCTTACAATCAGCACAACGAGAAATTTGACTTGCTTTCCTTGGTCTATTACATAGCGATGAACTTTTACATATTTGTGGAAGCGTGTAATTTGTTGACTTTTAATACAACTTCAAGGCATCAGTAGTTCTTGTATTACTTGTATGACTCCACAGTTTGGTTTATATCATATATATATATATATCTGTATATATGTATGTAGGCCATATTTTAATAATAGAAATAAACAACCAGAAATGTTGAGTGCTTTTCTCCAAGAGCCATGCTAATTTCCCTAGTTTCTGTTTGGTATTGTTACAAATAAAAAGTTTTTACTTTGTATACGTGTTCCACTTGTTCATTTAACTGTACTTTTCTGTTCTAAACAGACTTTCAATCTGTACTCATTATGAAACACTCTTCAAGCATTGCATAGTATGAGGGTTATAGCATCAGTCAGTAGACCCATGATTCTGCCTTGTCTATTTAGCTCAGCTCTCACACTCTAAACTCTTATCTAAGACTGGAGATCAGTTCAGTGGACATTCCAGCCCAAAAGGCTCTCTACCCCAAGATATAGGAGCTGAATTCAGCCCTGTGTCAGAAAGGCAGATTGTGTCACACCTTTTAAGCATATCCTTAAGTTTCTGTAACTTTTCCATGAGTATTGTTGACCTTATTTAGGAGTCTTGCGAGAAATTGGTACTCTCATGGAGGAAGATCATATGAACAAACCCTTCCAGAACTCATGCTGGTGTTGCAAACAGGATGTACAGTTGTCAAGATCAAAGGATCACCCTAAGGTCAATGCAAACTTTACATTCTGCTATGTACAGGTCTAGCTCAAAAAGGACTGACTGGCTGTTCCCAATGCAGGCAGCATGGATTTCTGAAGTGACTGCACACAGGAAAAAGGAAACCCATTCCTGTGTTACACCTCCAAGGCCCACAAGTTTATTGCTATTACTGTTTTACTTCCAAGAATTTTCAGGGCTCTACAGAAAAATTGTATTTCAGCAATGTTATGTGTTTGTCTGCTCTGAGTGGGAGAGATGGCAAGTTTTGAAAGAATTTGCCTCAATTGGAGAAAAATTATAGGTCTGAAACACAAACTACTTGTTGGTCAATGGCAGGCAGGTTCTTCATGTAACACTCTCCACTCTTAGGGACCATTATGCTGATGGGAATTTCCTTGCCTGCAGAGAGCAGGCTGTACATTCTCAGTCCAAGGCTGCCACAAGGACACCAAAAGACAAGGAAACATAGGGACAGGATTTTCACCCACAGAGAGGCCCTTCTAATCAGCACCACAGCCTTTATAATGTCTTCACAAAGGAACCCACTTCTAGCAAACTGATTTTTGCTGCCAGGAAGTTTTATCCACCCAGTCCCAGCTTGGTCCATAATATGCCACTGTTGTGCTGCTTCACTGATTACCTTTGCTTCCACAAAGTAGATGAAAGTGTGCAGGTTCTTATCTGGCAACACTTCCTTTCTTTCAGAGATAACGAGGCTCCATGGAGAGGAAGACAACATCAAAAAATCGCAAGGTATCAGCCAAGAGGAGGAGAATTGCCATTCCTTTGACAACCAGAGCATCTTCTCTCTGAAATAAAGTGCAATATCTGATACCTCCATTTACCTGCAGCTTCTTAAACAAGCAGCCCCTGCTTAGCAGATGATGCCTCAAATCACCATCAAGCCATGAGCTAGGTGCATTCCATGAACCATGAACTGGGTGCATTCCTTTCTACTTAGATGCATACTTGTGATTATTACGCTCACTTCTACAACAAGGAACAATTCTTTACCATCTGGAGTAAGGTAAACAATTAGCTTAAATATCTTTGAATATTTGATATTTTGTACAAAGTCTTGCAGAGAACATCTGAAATATAAACATTTACATTACACATATCAGTTACTGGTTTCCCTCTTTTATGTAAGAAGTCTTTATTTGTAAATATTTTCATTTTCCTTTATCTCACTTCTTTCAAAACTATAACACCTCTGTATTAGAAGACTGTATCCCCAGAATTTCAAATTTAAATACAATGAAAACAATAAAACTCTGAGGTTTTCTCCAGCCCACACAAATTCTCAAACCTAACGTTTAAAGAGCTATTCCTTTTGGCAACTTAGAAGCTTTTCAGTTTATTAGCCTTCTTATTCTAGAAATTTCAGGGAAGTGATTTTAGCAAATTAAATCCCATAAGCACACATTAAAAAAAATATTTGCCATCTTGGTTAAAATTTTAAAACATGATTGGGTCACTCTGTTTACTTCCATTGTCAATAATTTTATTTTGTAAAGAATTTAAGAGAATATTAGCAGAATCTTTCCTTAGTAGTTTATTTGCCAATATTTTGCTATTATACAGAAGTAGAGCCTTATTGGTCCCTATTTGATATCTCAATTAAAAAAAAAAAAAAAAAAAAAGACATCTCTGATGGATTCATCTCTGTTAACTTGGTAGCTAAAACTACCTGTCTGACCAAGTGCACTTACCTACCCAACAGTCCATACTCTCATATGGATAGCAGGCAGCTCCATCAGGCAACTTGTCCCACTCTAAAAAAGGTGGGATCATCTGCCTTCCAGGGGTGTCTCATACTGTCTGCTAAAAGGCTAATTCAACAAATAAAGTTGGAGCACATGTTTAATGTGCTCCAATGATGTGCTCAGATGACTCTGGTCACTCAGAGGAATATAGCCCCAACAAAGCTATGTGATTTGAGTAAAAAAGACAATTAATGAAAGAGTACTGTTTTATACTTTTTCCAAAACCACAAATATAGCAAAAAGCAAATACAGGGTCAGATTTTACTATCATCACTCACATTCAGTAGTGCATCCTAGTTAAGTTGTTACTGGCTACCAAATCAAACCTGTCTAAAGAAATTTAGCAAAATCAGTTGTTTGAGAGTAAGCATAAATTATTGACATAGTTTGTATTTGGATGATTAATGCGAGAGACCAAGTTGTTTATCCAAGGACCAAATTTAGACTCGGTCAATGGGAGTAGGCTACATAATACATCTGATGATCTGGACACAAGTCCCAAGTCTCCCTTGTTCTGTATAATGCTATATATCTGCCCAGTTACAAGCCTGAAGAAGTGCTTCTGCCAGTTCAGATAATTAAATTTTAAATCTAATGTTCATATGAATTTTTAACCTGCCATGAAAACCCAGGGTACATAAATCATTTACAATAACACATGAAGGCATTCTTTGACCAATCTGTCCCTCAGATCCTTTCAGAACTTTGAGATAAGCTAATACATGCCTTTGTAAAATTATGCCTCTTTACAGATCAAGAAAAGCTGGCTCTGCTTTATATGAAACACTTACATAGGCTTACCAGGAAAGAAGGAAGGGGAAGTGGTACACATATACTTCTTAGGAAGGACCATCTCAAAAAAGAAAATACAACATCCTTAAAGGCTTGATAAAGTTCTTTTCCTTGACTATAAGAAGTATGGTGCCGCCTGACCTAAAGAACAGCCTTTGCTGTTG